TGTAAATCGCAATGACAGAGCAAATGTGAATCTGGAATATGAGGGGCAGTAATGTCATTTTACAAATTTAAAATATTACTCTGAGGTCTCTTGGAACCTGTCAGTGATTTTGACATTTTGTGGGACCTTAGAGTAATAAATTGCCTTCTGTGGGACCTGTACGTAATTTTCCCTTTATTAATCATTCAAAATCTCAGAATTTTCTGCTGGCAAAAAAAAAAAGGTTCTCCGAATTTTCTGGTCTCTGCCTCTCTGAATTACTCCCGGCCCTTTTTTTAATAAAAATTTTGTTAATCAAATTTATAGATTAAAAAGTTAATTAAAGACAATAAACATATAAAAAATTGTAAATATTTTTTATAAAAAAAATCCACAGTTATGACGGAGAGAATAAAAAAACAAATGAACAATGCTTTGAGGAATGAAATAATAAATATATTGAGTATATAAATAAATAACTAAAGAGGACAGAATATGAAACTGGCTAAAGAAATTTGAGACGCCTTGGAAATGTTTTTCATGAATAGAGACAATATAGAGATAATATTTATTTTTAATAAAAATGGGCAGGGGAATAGTTGTTTGTGATGAATATGCCGAAAATTTATTAGTGCAGAAAATAATATTGACATTTATTCAAGGATAAAAATGCCTCAATAAATAAGTGTGTTCCTTAATATGAAAGTAAGAGTTAATATCACGTTATATTTAGAACCGAACCTAAACTATGAAATGGACATTAGCATACTTCAGAGAGGGGGGGGGGGGGACATTATATTTAAGACGGTGGAATAATTATGGGCATCATATCCTTATCTGACGTGTATATATAGCTTGACAGTTATATGATTCTATGCGTCATCACTGACTCACTGATTCAGATACCTTTAACGAACACTAGGTTTAGTTGCTTGCATTATTAATCAGATTCGAATCTATATCAATCGTTATACTCCTGGGGTCATAAATACAAGATTCGTATACATACTATAAAAAGGATTTTATACTTAGAACCAAAAGAATAGCTTGATAAGAGCATAAATATTTTTTTTCAAAAAAATAATAATGTTGATCATTGGCTGCACAGCATATAATTAATGGCGATGATTATTTAGTTGTGAAAGGAAATATCTCGGTACATACGAAGGAACAAACACCAGAAGGATCTGTTGTCCATAATTATTTTATTTTTTTGTTTTTTTTAACGTGGCTCTCAACCATATTGAGGAAAAATTATCAGAAAGATCCTCATTCCATTAACCAGAAAGAAAAGAAGAAAACAAAGTAAATCCCCGAAAATCCCAGTGAGAACTGCAGAAATATAAAAAGTGGCCTAATAATGCCTGGCAAGAATCGGGCAAATGCTCAAAGTTTATTGAAGTACCAATGAATTATTCCAAAATTTCACTCCCTCACAAACATTAATCAAGACGGTTGATGCTGATATTTAGCTGACAAAAAAAAAAAAGATGCCGATTTTTAAGAATATTTATAGGAATTACAAGTTGCGGGAGCAAAATAATTATACCTGGTCCGAATGAGAGTATTTTAAACATATCGAGGAAAGTGGAATATGTAATTTCGATAAATATTGGTACAAATTTATAATATGTATTTGACTGAATTGCTCATTGCTTGCAGCCTGACCCGTATATATATGGGCCGTCTTATGGGCCTCCCAGGAAATATGTTGGCAGTCTAATTTGCCGGTCAAAAAGCAAAAGTCTGGGGTCCAATGTCAACACGAAGCCCGCCGAAAGAAAAACGGCAACCTTGAAGCCTAACTTAATGGGCTGGATTGGATATATTGCAAGCCCATTTGGAATTGAGTCCATCCTAACTTAACCCGCTTAACTTAACAGAGTTAACCCCTTTTTTGGGCAAAAATAAGACTTGAGACATTCGAGTCTTTGTTTCATTATTCGAAGCAAATATGTGATCTATGTAAGGCTCAAATATGGTCTTAAAAGATCACTATGTAGACTCTGTGATTCTGTAAATTCATATCTCGGGGAGAAAAACACGGTATATTAATTATAACTAACTAATTAACTAACTTTTTAAATCTAATCCAATTACTCGAACGGTTTTAAATTAAGGACAAAAGGATTATGATTTTTCCACCATGATTAGTTATGGGGGTTGGGCTAATAAATCCCAGGCCACAGAAATAGAGGTTGATGAAATTATGATGGTCCATCATGTATTCTACTTACCCGTCCTCAAAAGTCTGGGCTTAATAGAATTCAATCTCATGGAAAGGGTTTAGCCAGGAATCCCAGTAGTTGTCCATATTTAGTATCAACAGTATTTCAAAAGAATTATTTCTAATAGAAGAATACATGTGCCTAGTAAACAAATAAAGATAAGGAAAGGAAATAGGGAAAATGACACAAAAATGATATTTAAACTTAAAAATCCCAGAATGGTTACTTGAATAAGCAAAATCCCAATTGCTTATTCAAGTTACTATTTTAGAATTTTCAAATTTAATGTTATTTTTGTGTCATTTTTTTCAAAGAAATAAAGAAAGAAGAATAAGAGTGACTTCAGAACCAACCCGTGATGTTGAAATTGAGGTTTGCCATCGATGCTTGTGTTTTTTGGGTTAAAGGCAACTACAAAACAAGGAGACCAAGCCCAAAGATAATATGGGGGGGGGGGGGTTCCATGACCACGACGCCGAGCTTGTCTGCAGCGGCTATTCCATGCTCCAACGGAGGATTGTTCAGAGATCGTAATCTCCTCCCTTCATTTCTCTGATTCTTCACTTCCACGAAAATTCCATAGTCCGGCTCGATTCTTCTCTCCTCCTTTGACGATGGCTGGTCAGCATGCATCTTCCTATGCGCGGATGCTTCCTCAAAGTTTGAGATACCCAGAAAAGTTGACTTCACACCCATGGACACGCCACACGGTTTTAGAACATGCCGAGAATGTCATAAATAAAATAAGTAAATATAAAAAATAAAAAAATAAAAAGAGTGAAAAAAACAAGCCATTGCTCCCTGCTATTCAAATATAAGGCCTTGTTTTTTTCCCATGAGTGTCGCTCTAGATTTGTCAGATTTTTTTTTTATTTTTAATTAATTATATATCTCTTTCATGTTTTTTTTCCCCACTCACTCACCTACTCCATAAATGAAGGTGTTTAAGAAAAGTAAGTTATATATATATTTTTTACATATTCATTATGTTTAACAAATTTTTATAAACTGGAGTCTGAGTCGAGCTAATTTACGGAGTGTCACTCCAGCATTCGTGTCAGTTGCACATAGGCCTAACCTGGGATGGGTTTATAAAAGCATGGGGGTCCATCATTTTTGCCGTTAGTAAAATCCGGGGTCTATAGCAGCGGGGATGACTCTGTCGGCGGCTGTCGGCTTTTCCCTGTCTGAGCCGGCTTGTTAATCTAGTCACAAGTCTTCCCAATATTAGTAATACAATACACGATTTCCTCAGATGACAGATACACGTCTCATTTATAATGGCAAATAGTTTAAAAAAAAAATAAAGAAAGAAAAAGAGAGGGAAGTTTCACTTACGGGACCCATCTATTTCTGTAACATACTATTCAAGTTAAAGTCTTATCTTATGACCAATTTTTGTGTATAAAATCGTGAGTTCAACAGTACTATATATATATATATGTATAACCCCATTATGTTATACTATTCAAATAAGCGAGTAAAATCATTTTTTTCTACGCATAGGTAATTTTTCATCAAGATAAGATTATTCGAGACACTATTATCTTTTAGGCACTTAGACACTAAATATGAATATTCTTCTTGGATAAAATCTTAAATCATGATAGCCTTTTCTTTTTCTCACCTAAAATGTGCCTTGTTTGGGATGCCACTGCTTTTTACTGTGATTTAAAATTATTTTGATGAAATGGTCTAAAAATTAAGGAAAAATTGAATATCAAAAGAAGAAATACAAAGGAAATCGAAAAGGTTGTGAAAAATATTACACATAGTATCATATTTAGAATAACGAAAAATACAGGAAAAGTCCTAAAAACATACCTCTAAAACTTCAAAATCAAATCAGGAATAATCACAAAAATGTGTTACCGTTTACTTTTTAAATGTTGTCCATTGTCATTAGACTGTAGTAAACAAAATTGATTTACAATTTTGAAATTCAAAGGTTTTTTTGTGTGGAAATTTTCCCAAAAATATATCTTTATTTTATAATACATATATATATATATGTATATGATATGGAGAGAAATTTGAGATGAATAATAATTGCAAAAGAATAATAATCAACATATTAATATAAAAACCATTTTTTTTCCAAAAAAAATAAAATAAATAATTTGATCAATCTTTTATTCTTCAGGACATGGTATGATGAAAATAGTGGATTTCAAACAGCGGGGAAAATTTCAGTGCATACCATAGACGCACAGTGCAATCCAATTTAAAAATTATAAATAGGGCAATTTATTTTGAATTCCACAAACTCATGGACCCACTCTAAATTACCTTGATTATGTTAGTCAGGGAAAAGTTGTTTTATATTTTTCCTCGTGGCAGCATTAGTTGAACACTGAGTGGATGATGAGAACTGAAATGATATAATCAACCTACTCAAATACACGCCTCCAACCATAACTTTGAAAAAATGTCGGTAGAAAAACCTACCGATCTCATATCAAAGAAAACTTTACCGATCAACTCAACTCAAATGCAAACCTTATTCTGATTTTCATGAAAAGAATGTGTGGAAGGAAAATATGGGCCTCACTCATCAGATCCAGCCCGGAACAGACCATACAGTTTGCGGCAAGGACCTCTTTTAGCTTATTTTTCCTTCTTCTTTCCACTTGTTGATTATATGCAATTTAAAAAACTAAAGTACCTGATTCTCTTTCAGTGAAGATCAATGGCACAACTCAGTGCATTTTATGAGTTGCTGGAAACCATTTGGTCACCGATGCCCTCAAATTACTTGCTATAGCTGCATAGCAAATAAAATGCTCAGAAGAAATGAGAACTTGCCAGTATGTCAAAGCACAAAACGGCACAAACTGACAAGGCCCCTTACCTTGTTACTTTCTTTTAAAGCACACAGCAAAAATGGTAAGAAGAACAAGAAACAGAGCCCTAAAACTACTCCACAGTTTTGTGAACGATCTCGCTAGTCTTCATACGATCCCAAAGATGACTTATCATGCACACTTTTAAAAAAGCGGATTCATGAAATTATAAACTTGAAACATCGACGTATTTAAGGGCACACTCACAAAGCACACAGTCAAGGTTATTAACTTTCGGTTCTTCTTTCAAAATGGCTCAACCCAGAGCTAGAGGGCACGATTGCCACCGATAATAAACCCAGAACTGAATTGAGGGATTGAAAAACAACTGTATACTTGCTACTCTGGCCCCCCAACAACGTAGGGCCTGTCAAACATTGTCAAAAATTGAAGAATCAAAATTTATTCAATGAAAGAAAACCCAAACCAGAAAACTCCAAATCACACGCTTAAAATTGTCCCTAAATTCACGCTATTAATCATCTATATATTTATCCTTCGGTTACAGCTGAATAGACAAGTACACCAATTAAACTGAACACCTTCATCTTAGCCTATTGCGATAAAAGATAACTAAAGGAATTAACGACTTTCACTTCCAGGATTCATCTTTGTAATTCATTTGATCTACACGAAATTCAGCGCATTAGTACCTCCGTTCAAGATTCTACATCTACCGAAGCCCAAAGATTTTCAATCCATTTGGCAAACTGCAACCCACTGCGACTTCTCTCTACCTCTGCAAGACGCATCATCAAATGATCAGCTTTCTCGTTAAATATATATCCCAAGAACCAGAGACCTGATCCTCAAACCCCATCTTAAAAACACACAGAACACAGTTAATTTTCCAGTTTCAGATGGCACCATATTAATCACTTCAAGTATGTAACAACTAGGATTAATCATTAAATATCCCGGAGAAGAGTCGAAAGAGAACCTTTGCTGGAGTACTTAGCCCCTTGTAAGCATCGGCAGAGAGTCCCACCAACCATAAGCCAGGGAAAACACACTGAAATTCAAAAAGAAAGATTATTTGTTTATGACATAGCGTGATCAAAATCCGCGGAAGCAAATAATCCACATGAACAAGAAAAATGACGGAGAATAGAACCCATACATCAAGTTGTTTCTGCACATTCTTGTGTCTTTTCTTAGGTCTTCGAGAGGGCCTCGACCCAGTCATCACAAATACGTCCTCTTCAATCTCTTCTTTTGACAAAGCGATCCATAATCTTCTCTTCTTTCTCTCCGTATTTTGCGTCTCCGTGGAACCCCTCAAGTGACGTGATTTCGGCTGCGGATGGTTATCACCTTGCTGAACCATATGAACAGCGGTAACCGCCGGAGCCGTTTCCACCAAATCTCCGTGCCTCGACGGTCCTCCTCCGATCTCCCCAGTGCCTTTCGAGAATATTGGTTTTCTGGGCCTCAAATTCCATGGCTTCTGCACTAAATCTTCAGCTTCAGCTTCTTCAGCCTCCTCTGTCTCCCTCTTCCTCACTCCAGCTTCATCATCAGTTTCATTGTTACTCGCTGACTCTAAAGGCTCATGTTGGTCCCGTTGCTTCAGAGATTTCTCTCCAGAATAGCCCGAAGAGAACACAAATCGGTTTCTGGCAGTTCTCGATCCGACCTTGCAAGCTCGAGTTTCGGATTCCGACTCCGGCTCAGAGTTATGGTCAGCGATTGGTTGGGAGGAGTCGCCGGATGTCTGACGGCGGCAACGATGGCTAGTATTCGTCTGATTCTTGCCACCCCATTTCAAGAAAGGCAGCGAGAAGTTGTGGAGAGGCTGAGACTTCATAGTTGAGGTGGCCATTGAGAACCACCACGACCCTCTCTCTAAGCAGCAAAAAGAAACTATATCGAATCAAAAAGCACAGGACAATGGGAGAATTCAGGAAACCCTAGACACGCGAAGAGGACGATGGATGGAAGGAGAGAAGGAAGGAAGGCAGGATGGAGAAGAGAGGTGGTTTGATGATGAAGTTTTTAGAGAGAACGAGGCGCTGTGTGGTTATATGTATTAGGCCCAGCTCCCTCGCATACACAAAACGAGCCAGGAGTTCGTTCTTCTACGTTGTGCACGCCGTCTGCCCTTGGCTTTCTCCTTAATCCCATCCGTATCCTTTTCCTTTTCCTGACGCCCTGGCGGGGACCAATTAACGGTAACGTTAACGGCATCACCTTCGTCCCTCGCTCGCCCGTTCCCCAAGGACATGCACACATCCAATAATAATGAAAAAACACATCTCAACAAAAACAAAAATCATTGATATATCTATATCATATACCACTTGATGCCCAATATAAATGCTTATAATACACTCTTGCATATTAAGAAAAATATCAAAATAACAAAAACTTTTAATTTTATGCTTATTGAAGTTTCTCTCTCTCTTTATATCTACAAATCATTCTCATACATTTTCTTCCTTTTTTAAATAAAAATTAAATTAAAGTAAAATTAAGAAATAAACATTAAACATATTACGGCTAATTTACATTTAGAACAAAAACTTTTCCTGCAAGTAACATATATTTAGGGATAGACTGTTATATGGGTGAGGGCAAAACTTCAGCAAAATATCTACAGGGCAAAAACTACATAAAATAAATAACATATATTAAACCACGTTATTTAACGCTAAAAATGCATGAAATTTATACCTAATTACGTGTTATATAATTAACGAGAAAAATATATTATACGACTAATAAGCATGTGCTTCGTTATGTGATAACACCCATCTTTATCACTCATAAATACCGAAATTCATTTCTCAGCACTTTCAAATACCAAATTTGACTGATCTAAGCTGCGCTTAAGAATTCAATACAGTAATTGTTTTGATATATTCACTGTATGAAAAAAAGATTATTTTCGTAACTTCGAGTGAAAAAAAAAATCCCCATAGAGGGAAGAAATTCCAATTTATATAATTTCTACTCCTTGTGATTTGACTAACATTCGAGTTAGGCTGCGATTCCCATTTAGATCTCTTAATAGCGCGCAGTGCTGGATTTAAAGCATTCTAAGCAAGATATTTTTTTATTTCTTAACATAAAAAAACTACCAGAGTGTGGAGAATAAGAATTGGGGTGCCTATAATTATATACTCCTCTGGTCCTTAATATAGGACCCAATTGTTAAGTTGGTTTTAGTCCTAAATATAAGACTCATTTATCATATTTATCAATTTTCTCTAAAGTACCCCTATGGATATTCCCTCAACCATGATCAAGTAAAAGAGGGAGATAAGGTATTAAGAAATATGACTATGGTATTTTAGGAAAAACATGTCACATTTCTTATAATTAACTAACATACCTAACTTCCTTAATCTAATCAAATTAGTTAAATGGGTCTTATATTAAAGACCGGAGGAGTACTACTCCTTTGGTCTTACATATAAGACTATTTTTGTAATGTAAATTACATTACGAAAAAAGTCTTATATTTAGAGTCGGAAGAGTACTTTTTTTCTTTAATACAAAACCCAAATAACTCATTTGAAGAGCAAAGGTATTAAAAAAAAACAGGTATTATATAAAAGAAAATCAGCATTCCATTGATGTGTAGATAACTAATCATAGTTCTTGAACTAGGTGCTCCCGTTAAGTGATTCATAACCTTGAATGATTAGAAAATTCAATCAAACATTAACTCCAACAGAAGGGGGTGACAAATATGCTTACTGATGCGCGTGACTAGAATGGAATTAGGCTTGTTCCTGGCAAGAATTTGGGGGGGGGGGGGGGAAGACTTGTTCACTTGCTTTCCCCCGACTATGTCGTTGTTTACTCTGCGAGTTTCTTTTCTTCTTTTCTTTTTTTTCAGCAAGCTAGTTGCGAGGTTAAAAGAAACAACAATGTCACCCGCGCGCGGAGCTGCAGGAGGTCTGTAATCATTTCTCTTATTTGTTATAAAAAATTATTTTCTCTTATTCTACATATAAGAGTTAAATGTAGTTAATTTATAAGAACTGAGAAAATTAGTTGGGTGAATTATTCACTGGCAAAAAAAAAAAAAAGAGGTTAAGTCCATTGTTTCTAGTAGATATGGTTTGATTTTTCTAAAATAACTTATTTAATTATTTATATTGAAACTATTTTTATACATGAACACTCTCTCCAACATCTGTAATCCATAGAATTGTTTGAGCAAACAAATTAAAAATTTGAGAGATAAAGTAGACTAAAATGAAAAATCTTACATTACCTCCGGCTTTTAATATAGGAGTTAATTTAGGATGAGATTTTGTTTTGGATATAAAAGCTCAATCTATTTTGTCTTTTAAATTTCATTTTTTTTTTGGCTAAAATATTCATATTGATTGTAATAATTTCTACCAAAATATAAATTTAATGGATATGATTAAAAACTGTAGTTTATGAAAGTCAACCAACTTAAATTTTTTAAATTAGTTATTTAATTTTTATATTAATATTTGAAGGTAATAAAATTAAGACAACCTCTTCAGCTTCTCATTGTTATTTGTCAATAGAGAAGTGACACTCTTTATTTTCATACAGAAGTTTTCAAAGTGACAAGGCATCGCTCCTATAATGAAGTGATTTTTTATCCCGTAATTCATGTTTCATCCCACTCTATTTTTTTTATCAAAATATAAGTATTTTTTTATTAGAAACAATTATATTCGAAACGCTGTTGGCGTTCCACTCCATTTTATGTACCCAGCCAGGTTTAAATAAAAACAAACGAAAATAACACAAGCACCAAAGGAAAAGCCCATAAAATAGTGGGGCTTGTTCGTGCCACGGGGTCCAAAAGATATTTTCGTAGCAATTAATAATATGTGCAAAAATCAGGTCAAAGTTATAATAATAAATCGATTTCAATATCCGTGTGATATTATTACGGTGGAGATTATAATCAAAGTGAGCCCTGCTAAAATAGTTAGATGTAGATGCTGCTGGATTCTTTTAACTTAAAAGCACACGTTGACCAGATATGGAGAATATCTTTTGTGCGTGTTGATTTCTCCCTTTGTTTTTTTTTTTCCTGTGTTGAACATGTAATTTAATATACTACTTGCACTCCTAATTATAATACCTTATTTATAAATTACAAATGAGGTGTTGTAATTAGGATCGTGAGTAGTATATGGTCTATTTTGAATTCTTTTTTTTATAAACAAAACAATAAAAGATATGAATCAAGTATTATCTCTCTTGTTAAAAATATTAGAGACAAACTAAATTAAAATTTTATATTTAAAACTAAAAAGACAAGTCCCGTTAATTGAGGGGCAAGTGAGATTTTTCATGATATTGGGTTTATTTTTAGTTGGATTGAAATTTCATGGTCCGTGGGACCCTTGCTCACGAAGGGCGAATATTAGGGTTCGGAGATTAATGTGATCGGAATTTGACTTAAAATCCCATTAAGAAAAAAAAAAAAAAAAAAAACCCCGGTCAAGTCACGTGTGTTTTCCTAACAGCCACAAAGGGAATATTTATTATAATATCCATCGTATTTATGATTGGAGTCAGGTTTCCATAATTTAAAAAGCGGTGGGGATGGATTAATATGCTTAATCCATTTGTTTGGGCAGGAACATTTCATTGAAACACTCAAATCCTGCTGGTCAGATCCCAAAACATGACCAGTTCGTTGACCTCCTCGCTTCTTTTTATTATTCATCATCCCATGGGAGGTACAGAACACTAGTTGTATTCAAATTTTCCTCCGCGTTTCAATTTTCAGTTGTCCGTTTTCGGGCTCATAGAAAACAAACCCGGACAACTTACAGTTAAAAAACTAACAAGTTATTGGCTGAAACCCGATAAGAAAAAAAATATAATGTCAAATTTCGGAAAGCGCACTTGTTAGAAAGAATTTGATCTTAATGGTCACGATCCAGCGGGAATTAACTGTTTGTAATTTACATATAGATAAACAAAATAAAATAAAAATTAAGCCTCTATACACTGTTATTTTTTAACTGCCTTGTTACTACCAACAATTTTGGCGGACAACAACACAATATAAGTATTAAATGTACCGACAAGAAGGATCAAGGCCAATGGAAAAACTATTTTTTACCTCTTTTTGAAACAAAATCGTGCATTTAAATTTTCTGAATAGGAAAAACTATTCTACGACAAACTTGCGGCAGGTATTCTTATCATTTAAAAATCAAACAGGTGGCTAGAGGCGCGACGATGTTACATGCACGTCATAACTCAGCCACGAGGAGGCTTCCTGCTATGCCCACTATCCCCCGGAAGAGATCATATTTTGCTATCTACTACTGGTAAAGTACTACCCGCTTTATTTGATTTTTATGTTAATTTTAAATATAACACTTTAATTCATTTTGTCTTTTATGTTTATATATTTTTTTCTAAGGTAGTTTCTAACAATGGTAATTTCAGTTAATATATTTGATTAACAAGGATATTTTAAGAAAGACAACATTTATTTATCACAAATAACTAACTTAACTTATTTCTTTAATCTCCTTAAATTATTCAATTAGCTTTTATAATTAGAATCGAAGATAGTATATTCACGCTGTCTCCTAAAAAACATTGCAAGAGGATAATTATTTTTAACTCGGAAGTGTTTGAATTTGTTTTGATAATATCATGCCCCTTTAGTCCTATTTACAAGGTAGAGAGAGAAGATTTTTTTTTGTCACATTTATAAATTACATTATTAATTATTAAATTTTTAGTATAAATAAACTTGTTTTACCATTTACTTATTATTGTGTAGATTGTTATCATGTTATTTTTTATTTAACACAATTATTGTTATTGTGTTAGAAGATGCATATAGGAGTAAATTTTCAAAGTTATTAAATTATTACATTTTAATATATAGCTAACAAAGTCTATTCTTTTTAAATGTTGTTGAAATACGTTGAAAGTAACTTTGAGAAGATTAGTACTGACAAGGGGGCATGCACAGAAGAAAGAAAATGCAGAGCTGCCGTAATCAGAAAATAACACAGTGGGTTGACCTAAGCCGTGGATTCCACGTGAAATTTAGG